TCGTAGCTAGTTTTTGCCCGAGGAAGAAAAGCAACCATGCTAGGAGCAAGCGCGACAGGTGAATTACTTTTCACGCGACTGCTTCATTTCCACTCAATATCTACAGAGTACTTCTAAAACCACCTATATTAACAATGATTGTAAAGGTATGTACTTCTAWTCACAACAARCACAGCGTGTTGTAACTATCTCTGATTGCCAATGTTTTTAAACAGCAGGGAAGAGAACGAGAATCACGCGATCAAGGAGCCATGTTTGAGGCAGGTGGTTTCAAATCAATGGGTTTGTAAGAGTCATTTTCACTAATYACTATCAGCTAAATATARCTACAAGAGCAATAACACAACCTCGTTCACAGGCTCCACCGCCAAACAAAKTGGAAAAAGAACTGGGGACGAGGTTGTACTTGACTCYTTTCAAGTCAAATTATTTCAATTTGAGGCATTTAYAAAATAWAAATTTACAGAAGCATTTTCGTGCAACAAGACATRTAAACAATCCCTTCACATTCACAACCCGGTAGTGGCACTACAACAAGAACTTACTTTTTTAGACTTGTTTGACTTTGTCTTCTTCTTCCTTGATTTTAAATCCTCTTCTTTTTCATWTTCCTAAGAAAAACATTATATTATATAAATAACGATTTGTCTATTTTTCAATTTTCCTTTTCGTCCTTTCTCATAATTCATAACTAAACCAAATTATTCATCCCTTCACGAACTTTGTGCTTTATCAATTCATCTTTTGCCAGATCGCTTATTTTGTTTCTTGAATTTCCTTTTGTTTTCTATTTCTTTGAATCAAWTTAAGTGATTTCAATAATCACGATCTTTCATTTTGAATCTCTACATGTTATTTTATAAGTTTTAGGTGTAGTGTGGTAATTTTTTGGTTATTAGGGGTAGGGAAGTGTAGTGTTTTGTAAGATGATGGGTGTGGTAGTGTAGTGGTCTTAACGATGAGGGGTAGGGTAGGGTTAGTTGCCAATACCTTTAAAAGAGGTTCAACAGACGGATAAAGTTCATCTTGCAGATATTCGCGTAGTTTCTTCTCGTTCTCTTTGTTCTTTTGCAATGACCTACGATTCAAAACGTACTTTTTACGCAAGACTCTTTACGTTATAACTYCACCCATCAYCCTTTTCCARCCTCCTTTGCATATTKCGTTAGAATTTTTAAAATAAATTAAAARAAGAGTCATAAAAATAGACTCAGGAGGTAAGAAAAGACATTGTTTWAAAAAAAATAATTATAATGAAGTACATTGGTTTTCAGGGTAACGCCGAGGGAAAGAAARTATGCGAGATGGCATTATAATGAGCAAGAATTATAACATGTTGAACTGTGGATGTAGATCAAAGATTAAAAAAAMMCGAATCCTAGCGTTTTTGCATCGYTAAGATAGAGAATATTTAAATGCTATGTTCAAGTGCAGAGTCCAGGGAAAAACGTAAACGTTTTAGTGTGAAATGAGTACGTAAGACTCCAATATTTTCCGTACGTACAYAGTAGCGTGTTMTTCCCCGTTAGGGATAATATCATAATACAAAACGTCATCGATGGAAAAGCTTATATAGATATGTACGTAAACGTTCCTCGTGTGAACGGCGTATTACTTCAATATATTGACTTTACGCAAACACTGGTACGTTTTTCTAGCGTATTTGCGTTGTTCACCGTTAGGGAATTTAAAACAAGAAAACGAACGAGCGAAATGAGAAACTGATGAATAAATCAGTATATATCTATAGTGCGTGTTTGCGATAGATATCAAGTTCTAAATGATTCAAAACACAACAGAGTTAAGCATTCAAGTCTTGTCACTGAAACGTACATGCACARGAAAGCTGTTCTACTACGAGAATATTGAAACGCAAGTYTGTAAATCAATGACYTCAAAGACTTAAACAGCTCCAAATAATGTGAASCAGTTGAMGGAGTGTAGTGATTCACACTAAAGACAAGACGTTGATTCACTGAAAACAAAGCCACGACAATACAAACGGATTGACTTTTATAAAGGTAACAAAAATAAACTTACTTGATTACGTTTTCCCAGTCCTCGGTCGTCGTACAAACAGTAGCCCAGCTATGAAGGAAATTGAATTGGATTTGTCAATAATTCAAAACCTACAAATTGTATAACTACAGACAATGTTTTCTCAAGGCCATAAAATATTTCAGGATGTAGAAACACTACCAATATCAAAAGGACCAAATCAGYTGAACTATTTCCAAGAGTATAAGTAGACAGGGGATGATGAGACCAAGCACGTCCGTCGATGATACACATATATACATACATATACATGTATAGCGCGTACTGCATAAGTTATGTAGCAAGGGGACGCAACAGGAACAGCTGTTATAAGGCTAATTATCATAAGATTTCAATGCTGATTTAATTTTCACGATGACGACCCCATGACTAGTAGCAAGGCAAGGAGAAAGAAAATGCTTAGCAACATCGTATAGAAAATGGGTAAAATCCCCTCTTAAAATCCATMAACTTCTTTCCAAGCCTGTAGACTTTGTACACTTACAACGTCTTGGATTTAAGGGAAAAAGACAAGTAAAGGAAAATTAATATATTTTTGTTCACGTTCAATTTATGTTAATGATCCATTTGACATTGAAATTAGGTTTTTGTTTTCTTATTTTCAATATTGATAACACAAAAACCGTAATACTAAACCTCAATGCCATCCCAGGTCCTTATCAATAAAACTAGCAGTTATAACTGTCAAATGTGYGTTACAGCTGCACYTACACGTCCGCCTAAACAGGYCAAATATTTACTTAGTAGAGAATGTCAAAAAATTGACTAGTTTCTTAAAAATGGAAATTCCCCGGTTTGAGTTCTGCTATCGTAAGCGCGCAAAACACACTTATGAAACCACAAAAGGAGATTTTAACTAGTTTAAAAGTTTCCGTACGAAAATTTCCTATTTTGTGGCAAGAAGATTTCCGGGGAGTGTACATAAAATGAAACATTGACAAAACAGTCCAAAACTATAAAAACTTTTTAATTCTGAACTCCGTCAGCTTTCAAAACCTTCTGGAAATGCACAGCGTAGAACTTTTTGTTCCCAACTAAATTGAGAACGGCTTTGAAAGAAACCGTTTTTGACCGAAAGAATTACTTTTCGTTATAATCGCGTGAAAGTTCAAGCACTCTAGTTATTGAAAGATATATTCACAGTCAAATGGCAGTTGAAATACAGAATTTAATCAAACTGACCAGTTTTAACATATA